GCTATAGTACTGTTACTATTTTTCAATGTTCTGGCCTTGTCTTGTTTAGTCTGCCTTGTTTAGAACTCAAAAATTAGGACTATTGACTTGCGACTCGCCTGTACTGACTCGGAGAATCGAGACTTGACTATCTTGACTTGGGATGTGACTCAGGACTTGAGTGTGAAGACTTGAGACTTACTTGTTACTTGCAACTTAGTGACTGAACATTCAGTAACTGTTTGGGAACTAAGGACCAATGTAGTTGTGAAAGTGATTTTTTCCTGTTTTTCCTGTCTCTGTTGTTGAATACAGTGCCTTATAATACATCACACATTTCCAATAGGAGAAACAGTTCTGGACAGCAGGCAGGCCAGTCTAGCACTTGCACTCTCTTACTACAAAGTCATGCTGTTAAACATATGCAGAATGTGGCTCGGCATTGTCAATCAGTGATGTCCCTGAAAAAGACGTTGTCTAGATGGCAGCATACGTTGCTCCAAAATGTACTCCTACATGTGCCCCTCAGCATTATTAGTGAGGAAAACACAATGTCCATTATTTGCAAAAACTATTTGAAAGGTGGACTTGCCTATCATGCACATCGATTCTTGCAGGTTCTCTGAATCTTTTGATGACATTTTGGACCAAAGAGGGTGAAATACCTAAAATGCTGGTTGGGAACCTTAAACTGTTGATGAACCCTCACCAACCATTTCCACTTCAGCTTGACAAGCACAAACTTCTGCTTCGCGTCAGTCCATCTCAGATGAGCTTTAGCCCAGAGAAGCTGGCAGTGTTTCTGGAAGTTGCCAATGTATGGCTTCTGCTTTGTACAGGTATTTTCCAGGTATTTCCAAGTCCATGTGACTGTATTTGTTAGAGAAGCATGTTGTTTTTTAATGCAATGCCATCTGAGGGACCGAAGGTCAGTGGCATTCAATATTGTTTTTTCAGCCCTGCCATTAATGCGCAGAGATTTCTCTGGATTCTCTAGATGAAATCTCTTTCAATGAAATTCTGGACCAAAGAGGGTGAAATACCTAAAATGCTAGTTGAAGAACATTAAACTGTTAATGCGTTTTTGTACAAAGTGGCCGGCCATTCTTGCTCATAAAGCGCTAGGCCTTTCCTGGATGCTCCTTTTATACCCAAGCATGATTGTGTCACCTGTTTAAGATGTTTTTTGGACCACTTCACAACATTCCTAGTCTTAAATTGCAGCTTTCCCATATTTTTGGAACATGTTGTAGCCATCGGTTTCAGAGTGAGCAATTATCTACAAAAATAATGAAGTTACAAATTCAAATTACAAACTTTTTTCTGGTTTAATCTGCATTTTAATAACTCTCCCAGCCTTTTTGGAATTGGGTTTTACTACATGCCTTGGTAAACGTTGGTGATGACTTTTAAAGGTTGAATTTTAAAGCCTTCATCAGAATAGCTGATGGTTAGCTTAATAGCTACAGCTAGTAGGTTGGTCAAGCTTTACAGACCAGAAGCAAAAATTCCATTCAATCTAATGAGAAAGTGTAGGGCAAAACCCAGTTTTTTCTCAATAAACCTACACTCAAAGTGCTTTTGTTCATTTCAAATGATCCCCATTTTGCATGTGAGAAAGCTCCAACTATTAGGATACACGTAACAGATTTTTGTGGATCATGTAATCTCACTGCGCAAGCATCCATGACTGCATCACTCATTAACATGACCTTGAGTGTCTTATTACTTTTCATTGAAATCTGAACAGCATAGGGTTGTCATTTAGTAGTATATACAGTAACAGTTACTTTAGAGAAAAGAGAAAAGTCACAGAGAAGCACAAATTATTTCCGCAGTAAAGCAAATATGTTTATTAAGCATTTTAATATGTCAGAAAACCAAAAAAAAATCGTCTTAATATAATACAAGAAACAAACCGAAACATTAAAAATGTGAGGTTTAAATGTACATGGTAAGCTATTTACAATCAAACCTCTCTCAAATTTCTCTCAATGAATCCCAAGGCGTAGGTATTACAGACAGAGACAGACAGAGGACATGCAGAGTGGCGACAAGCAACATGGCAGGTCAACAGATGGCTTGACTTTTCTGAATACTGTCCAGAATTCATTTTCAAAGGCTCTCACTCTCTCTCTCACTCTCTCCCTTTCTCTGTTCAGAGGAAAGCTCTTGTTGAGACATCCTGAGCTTTCACTAGTCTTTGTAAGGCCTGTTTTTTTTTTACTGAAAGGCCTTTCTTTTTATTTCACTCCTCTTTTCACTGCCAGCAGCACAAAATGGATCACTACACACAATCAGCTCCTACAGATTCACTCCTTTGCCTACTCGGGAGCAGATGTCTAAAATCCCTCGACATCATCCACGACCCCTCCTCCACCTCGCACTCTTCTCCGCTACACTGCAAAAGAGGATACGCTCCAAATGTAGGCAATATATCTTTCTCATTATGAGATTATTAAAGGAATATTATGATTATTATGATCTTATCCAATGAGATTTTCTAACTGTATGGACAGATAATTTTAATACATGTGTTATATATACACAAGGCGCAATTACTATTTATTCAAATTTAACATAATGGAAAAAAGAAACAATGTGTGCAGAAGTTATGGCACATTTTACATTTTATGTTTACAATTAAAATGTGTAGAAATGTGGAGGTGTTTACTTATTTTCACTTAGAAAATCAACAAAATGTATAATTTAACCAGGGGGTATTTAACGTCTTGCAAATACCTATATATACACACTAAGACTGTGTATGGAATCACTGTTCACTCAGTAATATGTTGACGATACAGTTACAAAATTATTGTAACACTACTTGTTTACTTCACAGTTAGCTGTGGAATGTGTCTAGAATGATAACTGAGCTGTAACAGATTCCATAATAACAAAGAAAGCTGTATAATGTTGGGAATGAGGCTATAATAAAGTCAACATTCAGAATGATTCATATTTGGTGGGAAAAAAAAGCTGATAACTTCGCAATGCAGATGTGACTATATATTATGTGTATTACATATTACAGTATTATTTATAATTAAAATCAGTATAATTTATCATTAAAATTTGAATTAAATAAAACCTCTTTAATTGCTTTCTGGTGTCAAACTTATAATTTTTTTAAATGTACACTGTAAGTTAGTAGTGGATACTGCAGAAGTGATACAAGTAATTCCAAACGTTTGAATTGTAGTGTGTGTATATCTATCTATTTGTCTATTTATCTATCTATCTATCTAGATAGATAGATAGATAGATAGATAGATAGATAGATTGCCTACATTTAAGATGCTTTCCTTTTTTGCAGTGTACAATCGTTTTTACCGAGCCCTCACCAACCATTTCAACTTTGGCTTGACAAGTATATATTTCATACTTATGCCCTGAAACCTAATTATTACTTGCATCTGATGTCCATAGATAGACATATTGACTTTATATAGGGTTACATTTGCGAAGACTTTGCCATGTCAGCTCTTTCATTGCTGTTATATCTTAATATACAAGTACACTGTAAAAAAGTATATCTTGGCAAGTGAAAGCTTCTTAACCTGTTATTGACCAGGGTATATTTTGGTTTGTCCATCTGAATTTACATGACCAAACTGTAAGGCAAATTATTCAGTAACTGCATGAAATAAATGTAAATTTTTATTGTATTTATTTTTTTTTATGATCATACACATATTGCTATATGCTTACAATTTACTGCAGAAAGCCAAAATCTTAGATGCTGTTTGTATTTTTTGTAAAAGTAATTTTTACGGAGCAGATCACTGAAGAGACGCCATCTGTTTATAGTTTATGAGTGAGTTCAGCTTCTTTTATTATAAGGCTTTAAAATTACATTACCCATCTATTTGACTGGAAAGACAGTTACAGCTCTCATACGACACCCACTTTTTGAATGTAGCTCATGAAATATGAAAGTTATGAAGAATATGACGAAGTGCATTTTGGAATCACCGGTGGTCTCAAGGAGGTGAAGAAGTTAAACGTATGCAATATATATCTTTCATTGTAAGCCTGTATGGATTTTATAAAATTGTTCAACTTATTTCTAAACATTTGACTTATTTTATGTTTTAAGTGATAACAGCCAAACTTTGTGAAGTTATTTTTGCTTTCTTCAAGAAATAATACTTGAACAAATAATAATAATAACTAATACCTGCCAGTGCAGTGAGATAATTTCAGCTTATAATGGTATGTCTAAATATAGGTTGAATAATCTTGTAATGTTTTTACAACAATCTTAAAATGAGAAAGATTAGATATATTGCTTAAATTTGCTTTCACTTGTAAGATATTTTTTTGCAGTGTAGAGCTGCAGAGCCTTCATATACTGAAACATAGGGTTGGTTTTCATCGCACATTAAGCTTCATCCTAGACTGAAAAAGGACTTGAAAATATAGTTCAGTTCAAGATTAAGCTTAATATGGATCTTGAGAAACTCACCCACAGTCAATTTACAAATTTGTGTTTTTTTTTAAGAAATGCACTTAAATCATTGAGAACTTTTTTTGCATTTAGCACCAAACTCTTTTAACAATACACCATCAGTTGTTTAAATATGTATGTAAATAATTAAACACAACAATAAATGGATAAAAAAAGGGTCCCACAGGGACTAAATAAAAAAGTGAGGTGGGGTCAAAGTAGCCCCTCCCCTCAGGGCACCAATAATACTACAATACACACGATATGAAGTTAAAATAAGACGATGTAGGCAACGGAGGTGAAAAATAACCAGAATGGCAGGCAAAAATCTGCACACAGCACCATGATATAGCATAAAATACAACTGAAAGTGGCTTTTTTCCAAAATAAATATGGTTGATTACACTGAAGGGGAGTAACTTGTGGCTGCTATTGATGTTACACGGTTACTGATGTTGCTGAATGTTTTCTACTTTGAAGGCTGACACAATTTGGGATCTTTCAGTGAAGCAGACTATGTTCACGAGACTCAGAAGAGAGATGTAGTGGATTGTTGCTATTTTTTTTCCAGATATTATTGATATTTTTGATTTTTTTCTCCAGAAAAGAGAACATACTTGACTGTTACACTGCTGTCCTTTTTGCACATTTTATACAGGCAGCGAATTAACACATGGACGCTGAAACAATCATAAACACGAAATGTACATTTTGAACAATTACTTTGATTTTAGAAAAAGAAAAAAGAAAACAAGCACCAAAAATCAAGAAAAAAAAAGAAAGTGAACACAAGTGATTTGGATTTGTTTTCTCTATTCAAAATAAAAGTGCATACACTGCATATTAAATATCAATACATTAAATTAAAATGACGGTGTGCATGAATATGAGTAGGCTGTAACATCGGTAGGCACATAGAAATTCAGTTCATATTAGCCTTTCTGCTGCAGTCGACATTCTTCCCTTGGGTTTTCACTTTTTTTCCTCCCTCTTTCTTTTTATTTCCTCTGAGGTGTTCCACTTAGGGCGGTGGAGCAATGACTTCTGGGATCGTATATATAATGTTCAGAGCGTATGTGCTGATCTACAAGCAGATCCTCTCTGGAGGTCTAACAGTATTTATGTTATATTGGACTGTATTCAACTGTGTTAGGACACGAAAACCTAAAATCTGATCCTAGATCAAGCACTACTGGTCTGAGAAATTTCATACATACAACCCCAGATCTTTTTGCGGATGAAAATAGTTGCTTTGGCACATTCTCCGTAACGTCAGGATGATGGATTCAGTTCAAGAAGTCTGAAACACCAACAAAATGTTTTGGGTCAGGATTTGGTTGGAAATGTTTTCCTGGCACACATACCTTTTTACAAAAAATACATGAATAATTCTATTACAGTCACTTTAATGACAGCATAACTGACTATGGCAATAGAACATTTAGGAAACGAAAGACCAAGTACCCTCTAAATGTAACATTTACTGTGGCTCAGAGCCATGTGATGTCATAACTCCAAATCTGAATAGCAAAATTACAGCTTTATGTAAAGAACTACACATATTTCAAACTTGCACTATAATCTCAATCACAGTGTGGACACCAGTCACAAATCTACACGTAGCTGCGGAATAAGCCCCTTGCCAACTTGTATGTAAGCAGTCATAAATAAAACAGGGTTTAAGTCAGCCACTTACCAGTTATAATGGCGTCTCTTTTTTGTAGTTAAACCCAGGGTCTGATCCTTCAATCTGCAGTTTCAGAGCTTGTTTAAGGCTTAATTCTGTCTCCCCTATTGGATAACTGTCAAGAACTTCCTGATGTCCCCTGTTGGTCACAGTTCTGGGGACCGAGACTCTCCCTAAAAAGACTTGATTTCCCTGCAGGTGGTAGTTGGGGTTGGTCATGATCCCATTTCTCTTCTTCTCTGCACAACTCTGCTGTTGGATGTAAAACGGCTCCTGTGACTGGCCAGAATCGAGAGGGTTTGAGCCTCCCAACACTATCTTACAGTGCGGATCCTTTACTGCGATGTTTGACACTGGCTTGTTGAGAGTGATCCTTTTATCAAACTGAGTCATCTCGTACTCCAAAACCTGACTCTGTGGAGGAGCATTGCTATTCTTTGATTTCTTCTTGTCTCCAACCCCTTCCTTTTTTGAACTATTATTTGTTCCGTTCCCACTCTTTCCTCCTTTAGAGGACTTTAGCCCTGGTTTCACCTGACTCCAGTCAAATTCACTTGTAGGAGATCCGGGCTGTGGGCCAATGGACTTGGTTGTCGAAGAAGGAGAGACTATAGATTGCCTGCTGCGACTGCGAGGCAGTGAGTGTTGCTGGATCTGTTCTGTAAAGCTAAGCCCATGAAAACTGTCTATGGGCACTGTCTGGGCCGTTGAGGTGGATGAAGTGGTCCTCAGTGAAGAGTTCTTTGAGCTTTTGAGGGAGTTGTTGGAGAGGGAGGACTTCTGTCTGTCCACTGTGGAATCTGGAGACTCTGAAGGAGAGCTGAAAGCATGAACAGGTCCGTTTGATAAACCTCGACCTGTTGACTGAATGTCTCCTGCTCCCGTGCTGCCGGAACTGCTGGATTTGATAGTGAGTGACTGCATCTTTCCTGTGACTGACAGTGGGGTTTTCTGCTCCATGGTGTGTATAGGTGAGGGATTGCACCCATTGAGACTTGTGGCACCATATTTCTCTAAGAGTTTGATAATCATTGAGTGTCCTCCTTTTGCTGCAACTCTCATGGCTGTGCGGCCAAACTGGTCTGCATGATTAGGATCTGCACCATGTTCTAGTAGAATCCTGACCACATCAATGTGCCCTTCCTGAGCAGCAATGCCAAGTGCAGTGGCCCCTTGATTACATGTGTGGTCAACGTGAGTGCCACTGTCAATCAAAAACTGGACGACTTTCGAGTGGCCTTGCCACGCGGCAGACTGAAGTGCAGATCGCTTTTCATTGTCACAAGAGTTTACGTCTGCATGGTAGCTGATCAGCAACCTCACCATTTCCACGTGGCCCTGCCAACACGAAACATGGAGCGCTGTTCTGCCTTCCATATCACTCGCCTCTACATTCGCTCCATTCTCTAAGAAATACTCTGCCATGGCTAGCTGATTTTCAAGTGCCAGTATGTACAAAGTTGGGCGGCCATCTGCATCTTTGTAGTCTATATCAGCTCCATGGCTCAGCAACAGTTCAACAATATCTCTGTGTCCTTCCAGGGCTGCCACCCTTAGAGAATTTCTCCCGTCATACCCTCTCTGATCAATGCAAGATTTATTCTCAAGAAGGATGTGTACACAATCATAATGACCCTCTTGAGCAGCCAGGATCAAGGGTATTCGTCCATCGTTGTCCACCTCTGAGCATCGAGCACCTTGTTCAATGAGGGCATCACACACCTGCCTGTGTCCCTCAAATGAGGCCATGTGTAAGGGTGTCCAGCCCGCGTCATCTCTGTGGTTCTCATCCAGGCCCCTGTCCAGCAGAGTTCTGACCACTTCCACATTCCCTTGAGCGGATGCAATGCTAAGCACTGTCCTTCCTTCACTATCAATACTGTCCACAGCAGCACCCCAGAAAAGTAAAGTATTGACCACAGAGGCATGTCCCATGGATGCTGCAGCAAGCAGGGGAGTTCTCCCATTATTGTCCGTGTGGTCAACATCTGCTCCTCCTTCTAGAAGCAAGTCCACCACATCCACATGTCCTTCATAGGCAGCGACAAGAAGAGGGGTCATGCAATCTTTATCGCAGTGGTCCACTTCAGCTCCACGGTCAATAAGGAGGCTCACCACTGAAGCGTGACCTTTGCTAGCAGGCACACAAAGAGCTGCAACAGAAAGTGCAGTCCGTCCATCGACATCCTCATGGTTTACCTCAGCGCCATGGTCCAGCAGGTGCTCGACAATCTCTCGGTGTCCCATGTAGGCTGCAGCAATGAGTGCAGTCCTTCCTTCATTGTCTGCCTTGTTGACCTCTGCGCCATGCTGGAGGAGATTAAGGACAATATCCTCATGACCTCCCCATGCAGCTGCCCTAAGGGCAGTTCTACTGTCTGCATCTGCACAGTCAACCTTGGCACCTGCATAGAGGAGAGCTGAGACCACTTCCGAGTGACCTCCCCAAGCTGCAGACCTTAAGGCAGTCCATCCATCGTGATCTGTGTGGTTGATGTTGGCATCGCAGCCGATCAGGCAGTTGACGACCTTGGTGTGGCCTTGCCTAGCCGCAAGTGTGAGGGGTGTCTGCCCGTGGTTGTCCTCAAGCTCCATGTTGGCTCCCCTAGAGATGAGCAGATTCACTACATCTAGGTTGCCACTGTATGCAGCATTAGCCAGCAGGGTTCGCCCACTGGAGTCGCTTTGGTTGACAGAGGCCCCATTATCGAGCAGAGTGCGAATGGAATCCTCTCGTTCCAGGGCTTGCTGTACAATGCATGAAGCATGATCATCCTCGTTGCTGATGTGGGCTCCAGCTTTGACCAGCAGTTGCAAGACCTCTTGCTCTTTGGGTATGGATGTGGAAAGGGAGTCTTTTGCAGGTGTGCCATTCCACACCATCCACAAGGCCAAGTTAAAGGGTTCTATTTGGAGGTTGGAGTTAATCAGGTGAAGGGCAAATTCCTGCACCTCCAGAGGTTTGAGCTGCTTGGCTCTACAAGTGTAGCTCATGGCCATCATTCGGTGGCCTTCGGCAGCATTGCACAGGTATTTCTGAGTGCAGTGCTTAACGTCCAGAAGCCACTCAGCAAAACTGTAGTGAAAGAGCATCTTAGTACCTCCAAGTCCATCCACAAGTAACTTTGAGAGGATATCCATCTTTTTCTGAAACTCCTCCATGGTCAGGGTCATGTTTTTAGTCCAGACAGCATGGTAAAGCTCCTTCACTGTCAGAGGCCTGCAGGCAGCCAGAATTACATTAAGGATGGGCTGCACTTTGGCAAATTGCTTCCTGACAAACAGTCTTTGGCAGAGCCATAGGTAGAGTCCATTCAGTGTCCCTGGGATGTCACGGATCTCACGGAGCATGATAAAATTCTCAACCACGCCATCGAGGACGCGCTCTAGGTACAAGAAGCATCCACTACTCTTTATGTGGAGTTGGTTCAGCATTTCCGCAGTCTCCTTGGTGAGGTGCTGCCGTAGTGCCTCCTCCTGGTCCAGCCTGTGGAGGATGTATTGCTGAACATCCTTAACAATGTATGCCTTGCGCAGGTCATCCAGACTGATCTTGCGGAAACCTATCGAGGAAGAGAAATGAATGCAATTAGTTTAAATTCATATAACCCACAATGACACAATCAGTAAACCTACATGAGAAAGGCAATAGTAATAAACACAAAAATTTCACAAAGTATGCTATACTTTCGGGAATATATCTGAACATGGTGACATTTGAAAAGACCACAAGGATCTAGTTCCAATAAAGCTGGTGATCCAATAGCTCAATATGATTAAGCTGACCTCAATTTTATGGAGATCATCTCTTTTCAACTCAAACATACCCACTGACCCCTTAGATTTTACCTGTGATGAACTGCCTTGTAACAGCTCCCAGATGTGTACTCTCAAAGGCAGAACAAAGTAGACTAGCAGAGGAAAGACATATGTTGCACTGAAAAAATGTAAAGATGTATGCCTGCACTGAGGAGGTGGACTTTCCAGGGCAGACGACATGGTCATGGTCATGCACAATATACAAAACAATGTTCCAGTTCACCCATAAAGGATGAAAGAACTATTTCTGCAGCAGGGACGAATGGAATGTCTTTCAGTCTTATATAAAATAAACAGCTAAAGAGCCGTAACAATTCCTGGAGACCAACCAGGAAACATAAACAAGTTTCTCATGCCTGTGATGTACTGATTTACTGACAGCACTCTAAAGAGGCAAATCTCTATACACGGTGACCTTTATTAAGAGGCATTTGTGCCAACAAATTCTCCATGCTAAGGCAGTTTATTTCCAGATAAGTGCAAATTCCACACTTTTATCTCAGCCATGGCAAAAGGGAGAACCATTCCCCCGTGGATGCACATCTCAGCACGTCTGGAGGCCTGAGGGCAGTAGAGGCATTTACGCATGGATTTTATTTACTGTTCCCATGGACTTACACTAGCTTTGGTGGGGGAGCTTCCATGCACACTTCCATGCACACTCCTACAGCATTGTTAACATATTTCTGTGCTCTTTCAGGCTGGTGGGAAAGCAATGACTCTTTCTGCTTTGTTTAATTGCCTGCTCAAAATGGCTCTATTTCCTGTCAGGATGCCAGAATTTGATTCTGCAAACAAGAACCGGCTTTTTGCTAATACAGCTTTTTGCTAATCAAGCTGCTCTATATAATGTCATTGATAAACGCTTTTGTTTGGGTGTTATATAACTGCATATTTTATATGTTGTGCTCTAGGTTATTCACTTTCAATAGCAGGGGTGGTCACTGATAACAAAGGTCAAATTGTGTGGAATTCAATTTACAATGGGAAACATATTCCTCTATCAGTCTTTCTGTCCTTCTTTTTGTCCATATCTCTTTCTCTTGTTTTCTTCTGCTCACTGCCAAGCTAATTTATCACCTACCAAAAATGGGTGCACAAAAAATCAGTGAAAATGACTGCTAAATTATGCATGCTAGCTAATGGTCTTGCGCAACCTACAACCTCTTACATTACTGAAATTACAGCTATTCTCATAAAAGGTCTTGAAAGTGCTCATATAGCCAATGCCTTCTGTTGGACAGGCCATCTTAGCTGTGCTCACAGATGCAGGCTCCTTGTTGCCTGTGTAGAGTCTGTCCTGCTAGCAGTTGTTTTCACCATTAGAGGGGTATTTTCCATGACTTATCCCATAGGATCGCATTCATTTCCAGTCTGACTGACCTAGCCCTCCACCTCAACCCGACTGCACATTACACCATCCGTGAGAGAGTCTGTGTGTGTGTGTGTCTTCAGGAAATAGACAGGCCGAAAGAGGAAGAGGCCTTGAAGGGGTAAAGAAGGAGGTGATGGGGGACAGATGACCCAGAACTCTAGTTTTGCCAGCAGGCTTGTTTGTAACCGTTCCCCGTATGTTTGTGGAGGTTGCCTGGATGTTTGGTTTGGAAGCCTGCCATGAGTTAGAGGGTTCACAGAGTTTAACACAGAGGATTACAAATAAGTGGCCTTCTAGTAAATATCGGAAACTTCTGAGACTATAATTTCTTAAAATGCATTGGAGAATCAAACAACATGTTGTCCTCCAGTACTCTTTCTGTAAGCAGCGTTTCTGAAAGAGCTCTATCTCTAACTGCAGATACGTCAAATTTTACCTTGTGCATTTAAAATGAATCCCCAGGGTTTGAAAACACAGTATAAGTATCTTTGAGATGAAAGCCTTAAAACCGCACTAGTTAGAGAGTTTCAATCCCTGCATTTCCCGAAGGACAAAACAGAGAAAAATAAAGATTAAAAAGGAAACAAAAATGAGAAAAGGAAACACAAAAACAATAACAAAATACACTCGTCATTAAAAAAAAACAAAAACAAAAACATCCAGTTAGAACAAGTCAGAAAGAGTGGTGTGAGTGGACACCATAAATGAAGGACGGTGACCTACAATTTCCACTTAAGTTACCTACCACTACTTCATGGAGAAAAGAAAAATAGTACTGAATAATACTGGATACATCCATGCTTAACTCAAAAATTTAACTATTTTTTTCTCTCAAAAACAGACAAATTAAAATTATCAATGTGCTCCGTGACTAGAAAACGTTCCTCTAGCCTGCACAAAACGCTTCGCAATTTTAAACCACGTTTATGTTGAAAAACATGGACTTTTGAGCTGCCGCAAAAAAACACCACACTCCATCCACAGATGAACAATCGAGAATGCCTTCTCTCTAGTTACTCATCCAACATGGAGGAAAAGTTAGAACACATGAAGCACAAAGATTACCATACTCTCAATATGACAAAACATTTTCTATTGATTATTAGGAACACTCAGAAGTTTCAGCCACCAAAAATTTTCAGCCATAAACCAAAGTTTTTGACCATTTTCATTTTCAATTTTCAGTGGAAATAAGGAAAAGGGGCAAAATTTTTGAGAAAAAAGATCAAACAGACTTCACAAATCATTTTATGGGTAATGAAATTCCAAAATGGTGATTAAAAACACTGTTCCTTTCCCATTCCACAAAGCTGACAGCTTCTTGCTTGCGACCTTCTTATCCAAATTTTCTGTTCGACCATTCGTTACATTCTGTTGCTCACAGTTCTACTAAACTTCCCACTAAATTTTCCTCTCCACCTTAAATTGTGCCTGTGGGCACCTGCATTTGACGGCTGTACCATTTAATGTGAAACCGAAAATTTGCCCAGTGAGCTGTTTATAAACAAACCGGACTTTAGCTTTGTTCAGTTTCCTGTGTGAGTCTTCACAGACAGATTCAAACAGCTTGAGCCGCAGCAGATCAACACTGAAAATGTCAGCTATATTTCACAGTTTCTACAAGGGACATTAAACAAAAGCTTTGTAATCATTGTTCTTGTTGAGAGGAGATCAATAGGAGGTACAACTTCTCTAATTCAAGTTTGATTTTACTTTAAAACACTTCAAAACAACAGGAGCAGAAAGAAAAGTCACTGTGAGCATGCCGACATCTGTAGCCTTAGTTTTTGAAATGATGCAAAAATTCACAAATCCCAAACTACAAATTATAACCTAAAATTTTTTTATGGAATTTGTGTGACATACTGTAACCTACATACTACAACATCCTCAATAACATCCAATCCATCTCCTGAACTTCCCACTAAATATTCTCAGAATGCTGCAAGCTCTGTTGTAAAAATCATGTGGTACAAAGGAGTCCTAAATGTGAAACTTCATTGTAATGTCCATCTCACCGAATCAAAAGCTCCAGTGTACTGCAGCACCTCAAGCTACAGCTGACTAACATGATCTTCACCTGAGAGAAGCCACATTGAGACAGGTGGATCCAACCTGTCAGCAAAACAACCTCTGACTCACCTGCTCACAACCCACTGGTGCAAGACGAGGAACAACAACTGCTACTCATCGTACCTGTCAGGACATCTTCGTCCATATCCAGACAGACTTTGTTTCTCACCGAGGACAAAAGCAACACCGACACTGACTCACCAGTGAAATACTTCCCAAGATGAGAGGCCTTGCGCTGAGAAATGATCAACTGTAGAAATTTGTCTTGACTTAGGCCTTTGACGGCCATGGACATGACAAGTCATGCATTCTTCAATAAACAGGCGAACACAATAGGACTGGGCACTACTACACTGAAATCCATTCATTTCAAGTTCAATCCTGCTTTATTTTGATGGTCCTGTATAGCTTGTCTACAAAGCTACAAATGGTTAGGGTCTATCTGGTGATGTTCAGCAGAGTATCCAGCGCATAAGCATTAGGGGGTAGAATTACGACCATGGATACGGTTAGAATTAGGCATAAGGTTAAAGTTAACATTAGAGTGAGTGTTAGATTTAGGGCTAGTTTAGTTTAGTATTTAGATTAAGAGTTATTTGATTAGTGTGTAGATTAAGAATTTAAGTTAAGGTTAGTGTTAGAGTGTCAGATTTAGTATTCAGGCTTAGATACTGGGTTCAAGGTTAGCTCAACTGTAAATGTTAGGTGTGGCAGAAGGTTTTAGGTTGAGATTAAGGTTAGCATTAGAATGCTAGATTTAGGGTTTAGGTCTAGATTCTGGGTTGAGGTTAAGGTTAGCATTAAAATGTTAGATTTACAGTTTAGGTCTAGATTCTGGGTTGAGGTTAAGGTTAGCATTTGAGTGTTAAATTTATGGTTTAGGTCTAGATTCTGGGTAAAGGTTGGTATTTGAATGTTAGATTTATAGTTTAGGTCTAGATTCTGGGTTGAGGTTAAGGTTAGCATTAGAATGTTAGATTTAGAGTTTAGGCCTAGATTCAGGGTTAAGGTTGGTATTAGAATGTTAGTTTTAGGGTTTAGGTCTAGATTCTGGGTTGAGGTTAAGGTTAGTATTAGAGGGTTTAGTATTTAGGCTTAGATATTCGGTTCAAGGTTAGCTTAACAGTAAATAGTAGGTGTAGCAGAAGGTTTTAGACAGATTAAGGTTAGCATTTGAGTGATAAATTTAGGGTTTAAGTCTAGATCCTGGGTTGAGGTTAAGGTTAGAATTAGAATGTTAGATTTAGGGTTTAGGTCTAGATCCTGGATTGAGGTTAAGGTTAGAATTACAATGTT